CCCCCAGCAACAATAACAACAAAAAATGACCCTTCAGAGAGACAAAGCAAAAAATGACCCTTCTCTTCTTACTTATTGACCGGCCCGTTCCCAATGTAGAAGATGAAGGAGAGTATGAGAGAGAAAAAATTAATTCTAGATCTAGCTCAACTATGAATTATATATTCATAAAAAACGAAATGAAAAGAAAATATTGAAAAAAAGGAAGAGAGAATGGAGTGGAAAAAATATGAATTAAGGAGAAAAAACAAACAAATTAAAAAAACAAACAAAAAAACCAATGCATTATATCTTCAAGAGAGTGCAAATAAATCAAAGAACATGCTTTACAGAGTACTCAAACAAAAATAACCAATTACCTGAACATGTGGGGCTAAGCCAGAAGGATACAAATTTGAAAATTAAATTATCCCCCTTACGCTATTTTGTTGTGATAATTTAAGAGTAACGTTGTATTCCAAAATCTCACTTACGGTGATACTAAAGACACCCTTGATCCTAATCAAAAAGCAGCTGAATTATTAACCGTTAAACCTTGCAACTACATCAATTTTGTGTCACGGTCACAGAAACTAAATCCTGCCACGATAATTCATAAACGGCATGATAATTACTTTTGACGAAGCGTTGAGTACATCTTGTGATAAAAGAACATTCAAGAAGCATTAATTAAGATTTGAACAGTCGAATAACATGTTAGAAAGTAAGTTAAAAGTAAACGAAAAGAATTGACTTTCAGAGGCTCAGTATTCTGGTATTGTGTTATGATTTAGAGGAATTTTTAAGGTCCACTTTTCTCAAAGTGTATGAGTCGAGCAGCATGTTAACTTACTGAAGAGGTAGTGTCTAACAACGGCTGACAGTTTGTGGGTAAATTAACGGGTTAAGAAAAACAAAAGAAGGAAAATTCCATAAACATACTAGTCTAATGGTAAGCAACAGAGGTAAAATATAGAGCACACACATCGTTATAGTTATGAAGGTAGCTAGTGCATTGTTCTGATACATATTGTAATTACATGTATCAATGACAGCAATAACTGTGCTTTATGTATCAAGGTTACAGAACAGAGAAAAATATAGAGCACACCCTCCGTTATAACTATATGAGGTAGCTAGTACATTTTCTCGGAGACACTTCATAATCATCACTGACTGCAATAACAGTGTTTTGCACCACGTAGGGGTGTAGGGGTTAAAGAGGGCAGCGTAAAAAGGGTTAAAGCAGAACAGCCTGGCACACAGCAAATAATAATAACGTTTAGTCCCCAACGGAAGCAAAGAGGGGATACCATACCTGAGAGGCCATTGGCGTCTTCCTGATACGCCTCATTCACAAAAGCAGCGCTGTCAGTGGCAGGCTCGCTGAACTCAGAGGGAGGAGGGGGTAAAAGGTCGGCGTTGACTGTGAATGCCACATCCCACGAGCCAAGTGTAAATGAAAACATGCAGGGTGTTCATGTTAGAAAACCACAACAGCAACAACAACGACAACGTCAACAACTTCTCCCCGTCTTGCAACGGCATGCACAAATGTGAAGGAGACCAGAACACTCACCAACGGAACAAACATTCGTGCCCAGACCTTAGTATAACACTTGCATTGCTAGCCGGTGTTCACGATGAAAAAGACTTAAATAAGACTTATTCATATATGTATATAAATTAAATACAAGAGAGAAAATACTTTAAAGATCTACCTTGTCAATTTAAAAAAACCCCATTATTATAGGAGCAAAACGTGCAAGCAAGGTTCAGGAAGCCATGTGTGCAAAATGTACCTTGACGAACCCAAAAATTTGTTCCAACCAACTTTTTGAAGCGTTCTACTAATTTTGAACCCTGCAAAGTTTTTAAGAACGTAGCCCCACCCCTTCCACTCACATTCTAAATAGTGGAGAGTGTTCAGATCTCATTAAACAATCTGACTAGACAGGTGCAGAAGGGCAGAAAAAATAATTTGATACAAGACGGGCAAAAATAGTTTGATACAAAATGGGCAAGAAGAAAAAAAATCAAATACAAAACGGGCAAAAATAAAGTGATACAAAACTTAAAATACGAACTGGGCAAAACAATTAGGACATTGCAGTAGTACCACGAAGTGTCATCAAAAGCTCGATTACTTTTATATTTTCGTTTTCTATTTTTTCTTTTTTTAAAGAAAGCTCTCTATCCGGGAAGCAACGCGATCAAGTTCAGGCCCTGAGACACCATCACTACATACATGTATTGCTTACGCTCAGTATGCAAACACCGCAGTGCGTTTTTATTTCACTTAATGTTCTTAAGGTTCTTAATGTAGCTGTTGTTACGCCCTTATCAATACAATTTATATCATTTAGAAGGCAGGCTTCTTGTCCTAACTGCCAGGGTCAACCAATGGCTTAGAGGGATACAATATCCCAGCAGAAAGATCAAAATACTCAATCAAAATCCTCTCCATAAGGGAATCGAACTAGGGACTCCTGCAGGCGACAGAGAAGCGACTACACCACAGATGCCAGTGACCATGATAGCATTCTGAAACAATCTCAACTTCCTGGGAAGTATAACTGACAAGTATTTACATTAATTATCCGCTAACAAAGAGCGTAAGAACGGGGAAGCCAAATAATGACACAAAGGGCGTACTGCTGCAATGCCAACATGCAAACATCGAGCATCAGGGAGGTATATCACAACAGACAGCCATTACGAAGGGATGAACCAAAATACAAATATAGTTTTAAAAAATTAAACATTCCAGGTTGTTAGGATGGGGTAGGTGCACAATGTGTTTCATGTTTCATGCAAGCCGCGCGTGTGCATTGTCAAGCTGTGGACAAAGAGAGTACTAGTACTTCATCGACATCACCCTTTGCGGGCCAGCCACTGCACACACCGATGGTAAATTCTCACTTTTTACACATTTTCTTTCTTTTTTTTATATTCTTTTTTTTTTTTTTTACTAATAATAGAAACATGTTCCAAAAATAACATGTTTATGTAAAGCAAAGCATGTACATGTATATTCTTTTACAGGAGCGCCAATACGGGAGTCTAACAACACTGAATAGAGTAGACACACAAACTGTGGAAAATATTCTGCGGTTATGTATCAAAGAAAAACACCTGATGGAAAAAAACCAAATCAAATATTCCGTCAAGCGCCGGGTACACAAATTCTTATTGAATGCTAAAAAGAGAAGAAAAAAGTACAGTAGAACCTGTGTGAGACAATCACCTGCGCAAATGACCATTTCCCATTTGACTCCTTGCACTTGTTTTACTACATTATAATTATTGACACTGTGTAAGAAGTCCACCTGTCTATGGCGCCAATTTTTCTCCTCGACAATGGTTGGTCGTCTTAGACCAGAATTTGAGTTCGACAGAGAATAAAAATGATTTGAATAAAGGTTCAATGAAAATTTAATAGTAGGGTTGTTTTTTTCTTGGGGGGGGGGGGGTTAGTGGGTACCAATTTGAGACACGTGTTATCGGATCAATGACAAAAGAGAGGTAAATTAACACACCACACGGCAAAACATGTAGAGCAACATGGCGACCCAATCTATATCATTTAGGAAGCGGGCGACTCAGCCTGTCGGGGCTAACCTGAGATAAGAGGGATAAAACATCAAAGCGGAAAGACCGAGATACCCGGCGACAAAAATTCTCCCTAATTGGTAATGAAACTCGGATTTCCCGCGTGAAGTTGGGGGTTGGAGGGGACAGGTTTGGGGGGGGGGGGTATCCAGGTTGAGGCCAGCACTAACAAATCAATTATGGCACAAGAGAAGAAAATAATCACACGGAAAAACATGCACAGCAGCACACCGACGGTTAGCACACTTGGGGGAGCAACAGCCATGGCAGTCAATTAAAAGAAGATTACTTTTTTTAAAAATACACATTTAAAAAAAAGGAAAATGCGCCGTAAATCGAAGTTGACGACATCGACTAGCCTAGAGGAATACCCGAAGGAAGCTACAACACCGAAAACGCGCATGCGCCGTTACCCGAAGTATGCGGAGCGCCGATAAACTTCCGCTTCACCTCCACACTTCCGCAGTCTGATGTGGAGAGGAGTTCCTGCTGACTGATGTCGTCTGCTAAGTACGAGGATTGTGGGGTGCCTGGGGTCACACACGGACATAAACAAGTAAACAACAGGATAGTTTTTATGTTCAGTAGGGGTTTTACGGCACTCGCAACACAACAGGTCATAGTGCCATAAGGATTAATTTATTTTTTTATAAGAATTCTGCGGCATTGGCAACACAAATAGGTCACATAAGAGCCGAAGATAAGAGATGCTACTAGAATGTAACATACAATTTAAAAAGAGGGCAAAGAGGTTGGGACGGTAGATGATCGATAGGAAAGAAGATGTAAACCACACTAATCCGTTCTCCAACCCACAGCCATAATGACCCACCGGTACAAAGATTAATCGAAAATGTACCCTTACACTTACACTGAATGGAGGAAAAAAAGACCCGGAGTTTTTCTTTTAAACAAGTTAAGACCTTTCTACACATAGGCCTGCCATTGCACGGTTAGTGCACATCAGACAATGATCGAAAAACACAAATTAAAAACTTAATATAGACATGTTTTCACGCAACCATCGACACACTTTAGATCACTTAGAAAGGGCTTTGACCCTGCCTGTCAGAACCTAGACGGGCTGAGTTGGTTACAACTAACTTACAACCACGTATAGACCGAGACACTCGACAAAAGAGCGGGACACTCGATCAAACAAAACGAATAGTTATGACAGTTTCAAAATTCAAAACTTGAGCTGGAACAGGACGAGACGGAAGCAGAATCCCCCACATAAGTTTTTAATTTAGTTTTAGTACAGGTTTTACGGCGTTCGCAATTGCATAAGGTCATATGAGCGCCAGAAGATTAGAGGTGTAGCAAGAGAGTAACAAACATAACAAAAGAAGAAGGGGAGATAAGGGCGATAAATGTTTCATAGGAAAGAAGAAGCAAACCACACCAGAGCACTCGCCAACCACCTACCCCCACATAAATATCGAAGTACTCGATAAAACAACGAGAGACATGGTAAAAGAGCGAGGTACTAGGTTAAAGAACAGCTGGGACAGTTTTGAAAAAATGAAACACGCCAAAAAAAAGAAACCAGTTGAAGAAAAAAGATACAAATTGAAACTGAAGACATCGACATATTGACATCTGATCGAAGCTACGACACCGAGATCGAGCATGCGCTGTTACCCGAAATATGCGGAGCGCCGACAAACTTCCGCTTCACTTCCTCACTTCCGTAGTCTGATGTGGAGATGGGTTCCTGCTGACTGATGTCGTCTGCTAAGTACGAGGAGAGTGGGGTGCCAGAGGTCACAGACGGACAGAGACAAGTCAACAACAGGATAGTTTTTTTTATATATCAGTAAGAGATTCAAGTCACTTGCAAGACAAACGGGTACTTGAGTGCTAAACATTGCTTTAGTTTCTTCACGGCACTTGCAACACAATGTAATACGTAATGTACGTGCCGAAGGTAAGAAGTACTACTTGAGAGTAACACACAATGAAAAGAAGGCAGAGAGATAAAGACAATAGAATATTTTGATTTTTTTTAAAAGGAGTAAACCAAACCAGCGGCATCTCCAACCCAACAGCCAAAACAGACTAGAGCAACGACAAACCGAAGAGGTTTACTAATATTGAACGGAAAAACAACTGAGTTGTTGTTTTGAACAAGTTAAGACCTTATTACCAATAGGTCTGCCATTGCAAGGTCGGAGCACATTCGTCAATGATCTGATTACACAAATGAAATATCAATATGTAAGCATTCATTTACATTCCCATCAACACGATTTAGTTCATTTAATTACCAAGTGGGCTTTGAACCTGCCTGTCAGAGCCAAAACGGGCTGAAATAGATACAACACATCCACAGAAAACCGAGACACACGACAAAATTAAATAAGCGAAACACTCGATTAAACAAAACAATCAGCTATGACAGTCTCAAAATTCAAAACAAGAGCTAGATCTAGAACGGGAGGAGACGGACGCAGCGTCCCCACATACATACCGAGGCACTAGATAAAATAACGAGGTACGCGGTAAAAGAACAGCTGTGACAGTTTTTAAAAATAAAACTTTTAAAAATGTATATTAAAAATAAACAGTTGAAGGAAATAAATGCAAATTGAAACTAACAACATCTTGACAGCTGAAGGAAGCTACGACACCGAGATCGGGCATGCGCCGTTACCCGAAATATGCGGAGCGCCGATAAACTTCCGCTTCACCTCCTCACTTCCGCAGTCTGATGAGGAGAGGAGTTCCTGCTGACTGATGTCGTCTGCTAAGTACGAGGATTGTGGGGTGCCTGGAGTCACACACGGACACAGACAAGTCAACAACAGGCTGGTCTGTATTTAGTTTCAGTAAGAGTTTTACGGAACTTGCAACACAAGTGCCAAAGCTAGGTTTAGTTTGGGAAAGAATTTTACGGAACTGGCAACATACATAGGTCATGTACGTGCCAAAGATTAGAGGAATTACTACAGAGTATCATGAAATGAAATGAAGGCGAAGAGTTATAATGAGGACGTTAGAATATGTTTGATAGGACAGAAGGAGCAAACCGCACCAGTGCCCTCTCCAACCCAGCAGCCAAAACAACAGGCTACACCAAAGACAACTGGAAAAGATACTCTTATACTGAGAGTGAAAATAACTGAGTTGTTGTTCTGGAAAGGTCAACGTCTTACTACACGATCTGACAACACAAATTAGAAATTAATGAAAGCATTGTTTTACACCCCCATCGGCACAATTTAGATGATTTAATTAGAAAGTGGTCTGTGGCCGTCCACGGCAGGGCTAAAACGGGATGAGAAGGATACAGCATCTCCACATAAGTAACGAAATACTCGGTAAAAGAACGAGACACTCGGTAAAAGAACAGATGTGACAGTTTTGAAAAATAAAACAAGAAAATCAAAACCAGCGGCTGAAGAAAAAAGATGTAAATTGAAACTGAAGACATCGACTTCTGAATATCTGAAGAAAGTTACGACACGGAGATCGGGCATGCGCCGTTACCCGAAATATGCGGAGCGCCGATAAACTTCCGCTTCACCTCCACACTTCCGTAGTCTGATGTGGAGATAGGTTCCTGCTCACTGATGTCGTCTGCTAAGTACGAGGATTGTGGGGTGCCTGGAGTCACACACGGACATAGACAAGTAAACAACAGGCTGGTTTTTATTCAGTTTCAGTGACAGTTTTACGGCACTTACAAAACAACAGGTCATTAAGTGCCAACGATTGATTTAAATTCGCAACAACAACAAAATACGGCACTGGCAACACACATAGGTCATATAAGTGCCAAAGATTAGAGGAATTGCTATAGAGAGCAAAATACAATGAAAAGAAGGCGAAGAGGTAAGGAAGCTACATGTTTGATAGAAAAAAAGAAAACGTCGGCAAATCGTTCAGGTTTACTTACATTGAACG